GGGTGCTGGGGGCTGCAAGGGGGGTCCTGCTGCGGGGGGGAGGGGGCTTGGCCCCGGGGGCTGTGCCCGGGCTGGACTTCTGCTCTGCCCAAGCCAAATTCCTGACCTATTCCTAAGCACAAGCAGTGGGAAAAGGTGCAGGTCAGCACGGAGCCAGCACAGAGGATTTCACTGGAATATCCATGTTTTCTGAACCGGTTGAAATAAGCAATTCCAGTCAGAAGACACTTGAGCTGAGGCTGAATGTTGTTTCCAGTCCTTTCCACTGCTCAGGTGTGAACTGATGCTGCTGGGCTGAGCCCTCCCCCTGGGGTGCACAGTTTCTGTCTTCCTTGTAAATTTTATTGGACACCACCACGTTCACAGGGAAAACAGCATCTGTGGAATCCATATGAAGATGATCCCAGTTCATTTTCACTTTAAGACTCTTGATGAACTACACTCACAGCACAAAGCCTCCTTCTCTTCAGAAAGAAGCCCCGTATCTCCCCATTTCTCCAAAAATCCCATCCTCCTGGTACTGCTGCAGGGCCTCCCACAGTCCCTGGATCTCCAACCCTGTCCCCAGCAGCACTCGGGTTGCTGGTTGTGTTTTCAGTCCTTTGGGTCTTTGCCCTCCCAGGTGGCAGGACAAGACATCCTGCCTGTCCCTCCGTCACCCTGAGCTGATTGTGAAGGGTCCTTGACCCACACTTGTGGCTTCAGACCACGACCTCCCCACCATGACCAGCCACACTCTGCCCAGCATTCCCAGCACCCCTCACCAGCAGTGTGGTGCTCCTCAGCTGTTTGGGGCAGGGGGGCTGCAGCCAGAGCAGTCAACTCTGAGAATTTCCCAGGGGAAGATGCCCCAACCTGCCCCCAAGGAGCACCCCTGGCTGTGATTGCAGCATGGGCAGTGGCCACAGCTGCCTATGCCAGAGGGAAACTGCTTGCCTGGGCAGATGCTCACCAGCTGTGGGCAGCTGTGGGCAGCTGCCTTGTCCTCAGCTGCCCTGTGGGAAGAGCAGCAGAGCATCCAAGATGCTGCCTGGGCTGAAAGGACCAGATTTTAGATTCTAGCTCGTGTCCTGCTTCAGTGCTGGGTGACTTCTGCTGCTTCCCAGGGTAGCCTGTAGGACGACCTTCCCTGTTTCACAGGCAGCCCGTGCATGGGGCCATCAGCCACCCTGCATTGGGACCTGCAGCCTTAGGACCTCCTGGTGCTTTGCTGTGTGCCTGGAGGACAACTCCGGGTCCCACCAGGAGACAGGGGGAGCCTCGATGGGTCAGGACCATTGGGAGCTGCAGGGCAGAGGCAGGAAGACTCCTGACTGGTTTGTGTCTTTCTTCTCCACAGGCCAGAGTGACACCGTGGAGGTCCCAGTTCGCCTGATCCCTGGAGAGAGGCAGGCTGGGGATGGCACATCCCTCCCAGAGACACCCAACCCCAAAATGGTGTGAAATGGGGCTGGGGGGACACACCTCTGGGAAGCTCTTGGCCAGCTTATGCAGGACCATTGTGTTCACAGGGAGGGTAGATGGTTTGAGGCCTTTCTGTTAATGCAGGAAAGCAGAAAAAAGGGTTCAGGGAAGGATGTGTCTGCAGGTAATACCTGCTGGTAGCTGACACCAACATCCCTGCCCCAGAGCTCCCCTCTGAGATCACTTCCCTGGCAATGAGTTGGCTCTGATAAGGCTGGTGTCTCCCAGTGACTTCCTGCAGCCACCCAAGCGAGGGCTTCAGAAAAGGCAGACCTGGGTTGGGGTGAAGCTCTATGTGAAAGAGCCAGAGCTGGGGGGCTGGTGGGTCCGTGGTGTCTGTCCTGGCCCCAGGACATCCAGGGCTCTGGGCATTCCATGAGGCACATCTTGATTTGAGCATTTTGTCCTTATTTTTCAGATGTCAGCTGTCTATGCAGAACTGGAAAACCGCCTGATTGGCAGCTTTGCTGGCAAGGTGGGGAACCCTGCCTGGCACAGAGCGTCGCCTCCCCGCGCTGCAGGTAGTGTCCTGCTCCCCCAGCACCAGAGCCTGCCTGGGGGGGCTCAGGCCATAGTGGATGGTGCTGCCAGGCAGGCAGAGGAGAGGACACCTTCCTCTTGGTGCCATTTTATAACGACGCAGTGACAGGGCCACGTGTGAGCCCAGCAACGGCTCCCGCAAAGCTGCATCTGAGGGCAGCAGAGTGGGATGGCAAATCCCATGGGATCCCAGTGCAGGGCAGTGCCCGGGGGTCTCTGCTCCCCGCAGGCTGCACCCGTTACCTCCTGTCACACCCAGTGGGTGCTGGGGCTGCTCACAGCCCATGGCTGGGGGCTGCAGGAGCC